ATCCCTGGTCAGAGAAATAAGATCCCATATGCCATGTAGCACAGCCAAAAATAAAAAAAGAAATTCACCTGATGGACTTAAGAGCCAAATGGACGTGACAAAAGGAAGAGTATGTTAACTTGATAATAGAGCAATAGAAAGTATTGAAGCAAAAGAACAGAGGGAAGAAAAGACTGGAAAAACAAAATGAACTGAGCCTACAAACCTGTTCAGTTCGGTTCAGTCACTCAGTCATGTCCGACTCTCTGCGACCCCATGAATCACAGCACGCCAGGCCTCCCTGTCCATCACAAACTCCTGGAGTTTACCCAAACACATGTCCATTGAGTTGGTGATGCCATCCAACCATCTCTTCCTCTGTCATCCCCTTCTCCTCCTGCCCTTAATCTTTCCTAGTCATCAGGGTCTTTTCAAATGAGTCAGCTCTTCACATCAGGTGGCCAAAGTATTGGGGTTTCAGCTTCAGCATCAGTCCTTCCAATGAATATTCAGGACTGATTTCTTCTAGGATGGCCTGGTTGGATCTCCTTGCAGCCCAAGGAACTCTCAAAAGTCTTCTCCAATACCACAGTTCAAAAGCATCAATTCTTTGCTACTCAGTTTTCTATATAGTCCAACTCTCACATCCATACATGGCTACTGGAAAAACCATAGCTTTGACTAGAAGGACTTTGGTTGTCAAAGTAATGTCTCTTCTTTTTAATATGTTGTTGAGGTTGGTCACAGCTTTTCTTCCAAGGAGCAAGTGTCTTTTAATTTCATGGCTGCAGTCACCATCTGCAGTGCTTTTGGAGCCCCCCTCCCCAAATAAAGTCTGTCACTGTTTTCATTGTTTCCCCATCTATTTGCCATGAAGTGATGGAACTGGATGCCATGATCTTAGTTTTCTAAATGTTGAGTTTTAAGCCACCTTTTTCACTCTCCTCTTTCACTTTCATCTAGAAGCTCTTTAGCTCTTCTTCGCTTTCTGCCATCATGCTATTTAGAAAGTATCAAGAGACCAAGATCTCCTGACTATGGTGCCAGTGCATTTTTTATGTCACACTACATCTCCCTAGTTTCCTAAATCCACTAGGTGTAATGATGGAGTTCATAGCTTAAAAAAAGAGTTGAAGACAGTGAAAATACACCAAAGGCAATATTTGGCTCTCTTACATCTTGAGACCCAGTCAGATGTTTTCTTTACAGTCGTGGAAAGGAAATTAAATATAATATACAAAGTATGCTCATAAAGTACACCTGCAATGTCTTTTACATGAATTGAAGCACACTGTAAATAGCTGTCTGCTCTTGAACTTTTTTTCACTGGTCTGCCTTCTCAGTACAGTTTGCCTAAACCAGCTTTGTTCATGGAATTCACTAGACAGCAAGGAAATCAAATCAGTCAATCTTAAAGTAAATCAACACTAAATATTCATTGGAAGGATTGATGCTAAAGCTGAAAGTCCAATACTTTAGCCACCTGATGCAAAGAGTTGACTCATTGGATAAGACCCTGATGCTGGGAAAGATTGAAGGCAGGAGGAAATGGGGATGATGGAGGATGAGATGGTTGGATGGCATCACCAACTCGATGGACATGTGTTTGAGCAAACTCCTGGAGATGGTGAAGGACAGGGAAGCCTGGTGTGCTGTAGTCCATGGGGTTGCAAAGAGTCAGACACAACTGAGTGACTGAATGACAACAAACCGGCTGTGGATGTTAGAGCTTCTGGAATTCTGATACCTTCTGGCTCTGAATAGACCTCTGAGCCCTGCTATGCCTCTTGATCAGTAATATGAGCAGCACAGTTTAGACAGCATCTGCAGTTTGATGAAATTATGCGTATTTTTACTAGATGAGTGTGTAAGAATATTCTGGAGAAAAAAGTGCCAAGCTATATGGAGGCAAGAACACAAAAGTAAATATTAGCACCTACTGAATTCCTACTATTTTCTGTTTTTAACAGGTTGAGATGGTCTCATCCCAGTGCTTTTATTTTTTAATACTTAGTCAAGAACACAGCACTAATTCTATTATCAAACACACACTGTGGTTGATCCATATGTATAGATATGGATTTCTTTGGAAGAGCAGGTAGGCTTTTTCCAGCAGATAACAAGTGTCCTAGAAGATAACTGCTCTTGTTTCAG